TCTACTTAGAAGCTATGCGGGAAAATAATCTACGACAATGGGATTTGTTGCTACCCAAACTAGAGTTGCATATAACCGGTCGGTTCATTAAACAACACGTAAGAGTCCATTTGAGTGCGTATATGGCGGTTGCAACCAATTGGACCCATGGACTTGGCCCCAAAAACAATAATTAAGGGCTTTAGTGAAGATGCTGAAATGTTAGCCCAGGAGATCAAAAAATTTCATGAAGAAGTGCGTGCAAAGATTGAAAAATAAAATGCTCAATATGTCAAGCAAGCCAACAAGAAGAAAACATTCGTGGAGTTCACCCACGGAGATTTAGTATAGGTTTATCCAAGGAAAGATCGGTTTCCTCTAGGAAAGTTTGGGAAACTGAAACCAAGGGTAGATGGACCTTTCAAAATATTGGAAAGGATTGGTGAGATGCTTAAAAAATGGATTTGCCGGAAGGATATGAAACGTCGCCAACCTTCAATGTTAAAGATCTACGACCTTATCATGGAGAAGACTTGAGGACAAATCTTTTTTCCCAACTATGGGGGATTGATGCAAATGCAGTAGAGACAGAGTCGGTCTTGTGTGCAACTGTGTGTGGCAACACCAGTAAAACACTTGCAACACAAGTCAAGACCATTATATTCAATAAAGACCGTTAAAATTAAGTGATCAAGAAGTCCTGAATTTATTTATGTCTTTCTAGAAGATTAGATTTTTCTTACAAGTTTTCTTATTAAGTTTGGTTATGTAGTTGGTTATTATCTTTTGTTCTTATCTCCTTATCCTAGAAGGTCAGTTATTAATTTTTTCTTCTTCTGAATTTGAGTGTGCTCAATTTCGTTTCCACTTATCACAAGAGGTGAGGGCCTTTTGTATGGCGTGTCAACCTTATCCTAAGTGACCCTTTGGTGGCGGTTAATCCTCAACAACTTTTTCAAAACCTTAACGACCCTTCAAACGTGAGAGTTTGGTGTTGCCCTGTATCAGTGGTTGGTTAGGTACTTATCCAGGCGTTTGCCTCAAACGAATTGGATGTCTTTTGCTAGTGTAACCCATTGCAACGTTATCTTTTCTCATTTAGATTCAAACTTCATAGATTTCTCCTTGAAGTCAATTTGCATAGAATCAAGTTTGTCGAGTCGTTGAATGCGAACGACCTCACATCTGCCAAGTTGGATTAATGTAATCCCAATGAAAAATCAGAAAGCTTAGCTTGCTTATCATCCTTTCACCATCGGCCATAGTGATTGACATAGGCTTTGCCTTCCTCACTGCACTTCATGACTTAATCCAAAAAGTTGTGGGTTAAAGCACTACCAATGAGAATACTGAAAGCATGCCCTGTTACATGAATTATACAATGTCTTGAGCTTCCATTAACTGCGCCTACTGACATTCTCCCTCCATTTCCTTAACTTAAATATCAGTGGTGACCTCCATGGAAACTCTTTTCAACTCTGCCTCCTTGCACCATCACGTGCAATGTGGGTTTGGCACATACATGGCCTTTCTGGTATTTTTCTGTGCAAAAAACACAAGCCTGATTTGATTTCCTATGTTAGTCCACCTATAGGAGTAGGCCCGGTGATTTTTTGGGTCAGGAAACAACCCTTTTCCTTTTATCATAGAGATTTGGCTGTTGGATGGTGGTTTAATAGTGGGATTATAGGAGTAAAAATCTCCATACAAGTGTTTCTATAGGGCTAATTATCCATTCGGCTTTTTTTTGTATTCATCATGTCTCTTCTCCTTTAGCCAACTCCAATATGCTTTGGAGAGAAGTAGGCTACCATTGGCTCACTCTGTTTAACCTTGTTCAGCTCCAAAAATGAAGGATTCAAGATGGAAATACATCAAATTCCCCCAGGCATTTCGAAGTAGATGTTTGCTTCAATTTCTTCAAGTCTGCAAATATACCTTCACTCCTCATCTAATCATAGTGGCACATCATTCTCAAACTGCTTCCAGCCATTCTACCAAGATTCCCTGAAGGAATGATACCATGATTCTACCTTCCCTTGCAAATTCATTGCAGAGTAATCCATCTTTGGATGCTCCTCCATTGGTTGGGAGGAGAACAATAAATCTCCCTTCCAAAGCCAGCTATGTGGATCTTCCCATTGAAATATGAAATTGAATCTTGTTGGTTCTAAAAGAATTAGAAAAGATGAAGGTTGATATCTTTATTCAATGACCCCTTCAAGGTGACCCAAGGCCGCCTTTGAATTATTGTACTTACGCTCAATGCATGTCAAAATCTCGTAAGTTGATTATCAATATGAATGTCATATAGTATCATGTCTAATTTACTAATGGAAAGATTGAAGTTGAAACCTCAACCGTACACATCCTTGTAGCATTCCATGGTTCAATAATATATGGATCACAATAAAGCATCAATGTGTTGTCTTGAATACTTTTGGTGACAATATGATTAACATTCGTTGGGATATTGTGCCAATGAATGGAACATATGTCTTACTTGGGAGATCATGAACGTATTAGTTTCATGGTAAGCATAACAAGGATTAAAGAGATGAATAAAGAAACTATCCAAAGGATTAAAGAGACAAAAAAGCAAGCTATTGGAAGAAAATCAGTTACTGAGCACAAGTGCAAGAAGTCGTAAGAGTTAAGATGCTCAAGATCTGATTCAAGATAAGGAGGTAAGAGAAGATAAGAAGATGGTTTCTTAGTTCATTCTAACAGATAGCAAGTATGTTGAATTTCTGTAGGCATGAACTTCATGCTTGAGTCTTTGTTGTTTCTGCTTATCCTAAAACTTGAGGTTGAATATTCTCAAATAGAGGAAAGCATGAGGAGGATTGTTGATCGAGGAGAATAGTAGGCTCATCATGATTTTTATTTAGCTTAAATCTAGGCGAGTGCTTGGATGTGTGTTTCAAAAGTGATTATCTTATCATTGGGACTTCAAGTTGCAATAATCAGTTTCTAGTGTTTGGGTGATCGTTTTTATGTAGGGTCAAATAATCAAATTTGGATAATTAGTTTGATACTAGCTACAACAAATTGATTATCAAGGATAGAATAAAATTTATTGTATACAAAATTTGTCATATATTCTACACCGTCAAGTGACTATTACAACTTCAAGTAGTAGAAGCACAACCTAACACTATCTTCTGCACTAGGCCTGTTCATTAGTTGACATCCATTGGATGTGAGGGGAACCGAACCGATCCAATCATTCATTGGATGTTGGATTTTGCCAACCGATCCGATTAACATTGGATAACCGATCCGATCCAATCCAATCCAATCTAATGGATGATTGGATCGGTTCGGTTCCATCCATTGGATACTTTTATTGATGATCCAATGAGATTGGATCCATCCAGTGTGTTAATTCAATCCAATTATCTAACAATGATACAAATTAATTAATCACTTTTAATGTGTTAAAACCAACACAAGGATGGTTAAAAATTCAAAGTCTCACATAAACAAATTCCGATTTAAGCAATTTAAAAATAAATTAATTGGATGATAAGTGAATAATGGTTGAATGGACAACTGGATGATTAATTGGATGGGTAATTGGATGTTGATCGATTCGGTTCGTTTCGGTCGGTTCTAGACTGCCCTCCAAGAACCGACAGATCCAAATTGGATGTTGAAATTTTCAATCCGATCCGATCCAATTACAATTGGATATCCAATTATGGTCGGTCGGTTCTAATTGGATCGGTTGATTTTCTGCACACCCCTACTCTGCACTTTGTTTTATTTCAACTAATTGTTTAATTCTGATTATTTATCATCACATAATTATTTTCTGGAAGCACTTCCAAACACCTCCTAGTATTGTTAGGACTATTTTGTTGTCAATATTTTGATCGTTGTCAGGGATATATACTAATTTTTATGATTACTACTGTGATGATTTTAGGATGATTTCTTATCATTACTAGTACAATTTTTGGTATTTATCTCTATCATGTATTCTTATCATCTTTAGGATGAGTAGTAGCTATCTTGTTAGGAATAAACATTTGCATTTATTGTTAGTCTTTGTATATAAATTGTTATATTGTTAGTCTTTTGTATATAGATTGTTATCCTGAAGAAAGATCATTAGATGGTTGAGTAAAAGGAATTGAGAATTTTCATTTCGATTGTGTGAAGCAATTACCCTTGCACGAGTGCCTTCGACGATCTTGGGTGCGATGCTCAATAAATCCTATGGTATCTTTATTGTGGATCTGTAGAAACCAACTTCCTTTATTGTTTTCTTGATCAGTTCTCTTCTCTAGAAATCAGTCGTGCATAAAGAACACTGGAAACTGGCTTTCATCGCGGCCTACTATCTGAAGGAAATATTTAGTAACCCCAGTTAATATAGTATAACTGCAGTAACTTTTTCCCTGGAGTCCCTAATTAGTTCACTTTTTAATTATATATGATGGGTCACATTGTTATCCTAGCATGACTAGTTTCAGGTAAAGGATTTATGAAGTTTTGTTGTATCACCAATCAGCCAATAATGAGCGATATAAATAATCTTTCTCAAGGTGATCAAACTAAGATGGGCATGCTTTTGCAGGTTGGTTAATAAAAGCACAATAGTTGTAAGATTTCTGGATTATGTGATGAAGCGAACACAATAAGTTAAGCCTAGAAAGATCCCTTATGCAAGAATTAGTTTCTATAGGTGTAAACTAGGATCAAAGCGTAGAAAGCTGGATAGTTGTGTAGATACTTGTAGATAAGAACAAACATCCTCAGTCTCTTTTGAAACATAATGGTCGACATAGGTCCTACACCTGGGAAGTGATACGGATAAGGAATTAGGCTTCTGCCTTGTCAGGAATCAGATCAATTTGTGAGTTGTCGGATTAGTCGGGCTGCATATTGCTTCTATTTGACCTAAACAAATAGGAACTTAATTTTCTGTAGGTATATATATGCTCTGCAAGTGCTTGCAACTTTTGTATCCCGGCTTTCATCCGAAAATGTTCTGATTTCAAGTTATCTTGTAGGTTGCAGAACGTGCGTTGTTTTTGTGGAACAATGAACGTGTAGTGAGCTTGATTGCACAGCATCGAGACATCATTTTACCCATCCTATTTGACTCATTAGAGAGGAATATTCAGGGTCACTGGAACCAAGCAATCAATGAATTAACTGGTAACGTCAGAAGAATGTTCATTGAGATGGATCCTGAACTCTTTGAAGAATGCCAGACACGTTATATGGACAAAGAAGCCATGGTGAACGAAAAACTCAAGCAACGTGAGTTGGCTTGGGAAAAACTCGAGGCAATCGCATCACAAGCTGCATAATATTTGATATGGTTATCGAGATGAAAACGCCTTCCTTTTTCTTTAATTTTTTTGTTCGTTCTTATGGATTGGATTTAGTCCCTTTACATCGATCATCAAGTTTTTGGGTCATTGGGATAGCTCTAGACGGTGGATTGCTGGCAAAGGGATCTGACGATCTGGAGTTGTTTCTTGTATCTAGGTGATCGAGATGCCTCTGGACAGCATGGATTGATTGAAAAAAACGGATCTGCCCTTGCCCATCTGGAGTTCTTTCTTCTTTCGGCCTTTTCCTCTTGCTTAAGGTAATCTGTGTACCATTTGTTGTTGTTATGATTACGAATATGATAATTGTTTATTATTATTATTATTGATTAGTAATATTTGGGACAGATGATAAGTAAAAGTTGTTTATATGCTAAACATCATAGGGATGTTTGTCTGCATAACAGTTGTTCATGTGTCTGTTGTGCTCAAATGAACTATTTTGGCCATCTTTTTGTGAATACAAGTACCTGTGAATCCACTGTTTAATTCTGCTGTGTGCAATAAGCTGCTGCTGCTTCATTATCAAGTAATATTAACCCATATTTCTATGTCCTTTCACCAAATAGTGATCATATTTAGTTTGATGATTCAATTGTCAAATTTTGCAGCTCGATTGTCGAATTGTAATCTAGTGATTATGGTTAATATCTATTAAAAGATCTTTCATAAAACCTTTTCTCAAGTCCGGAGTTTTAACATAAACGACTTCTCTACTTGGCAAAGGCTTAAAACATTAACCACAAGGGTGGTGTCTGATTGGTTTGAGCTTGGCTTCAAAGGTCAAAAGTATCAGGGGGGTCATAGTTTCAAATCCAAGGAGGAATAAAAATCCTCTTGTGGTTACGGAGGTTCAAATGCAGTGACTCCGGGCTATTTGCAAAGCAGGTGGTTGCCCAAGGTTATGAATTGGCCCAAAGTTGCATATTCTTGTAATTATAATCTTTCTTTTAACATTTTTTACTGATTTATTTATTTATTACAAAATTTTAAAAAATCATGAATTATGTTATATTTTTAACTTTTTTGTTGAAGTCATATTTTTGACATTTTCTCTTTAAAAAACAAAACCTAACCAATTACATCGTGACATGTAGAAAAAAGTTGAAAGAAAAAGTTCATGATCCGGTTAATGCGACGATCAGGTTCATGAGAGATCATGGTTTAAAAATGTTTTTTTTAAACTCAATTTTGTCTTATTCACAATCTCTACGAGGGATTGCTGATAAACATAGTCTTTGCAAGCTCGAGAAACCTCTTTGACCAACACTTGTCCTATTTTCCCACTGATTCTTGACATAACACAATTTGTATCAATTATGTTCAAGTCAAATATGCATAATGACAAGTCAATAAACAACTTTTCAACTTGTCCAACCAATTTAGGGCTATTAAAAGACTATTATTGCTCCCGAAAATAAGATCCGTATTACGGGTTTTTTGCATCTCGTCATGGTTCGAAGATGTTTATAATTTACTCTAATAATTAAGATATGTCATGTTCGAATAACATCAAAATTGTGGACGGATATCACCCTTCATCATCAACCTCTTCTTTCACTTTTTTTTAAGTAAAGAAAAAGATCATGTGGATCCTACTTATCAACAGACGATCAAAATGACTATTTTTATCTCTTTTGAAGCTCGTTTTTCTTCATTCTTTTTGCATAAATTCATACATCGTATTATTCCCGAAACAAGTTTCATCAAATACCAAGTTTCAGTTTTTCATTCTGGGTTTCAGTTTCAAATCCAAAATCATCAAAACTTTGAACGCAAAATCAAAGCTTAAATACATAAAAATATGGTATACAATGATACTGAGGGTTGATAGTATACTTAAAAACGAACACAAATATATAAAAAGAGACAAAAATAAGCTTAGAAAAACTACATCCAATCAACAAAAAATAAAAAAATCTAACCCAAACTTTAAACGTTTATCTTTTTACTGATGATATAAATATTTGTGTGGTTTTGTTCAATGAGATCTGATCTAATTTATATGCCAATGTTTTGGCGCATCTGGTTAAAAAGACAATCAGTTAACGCTTCATCAACTGTCTAACCATCTGTAACCATCGTCTTTTAAAACAAACTTGTCCTTTTTGAAAAAGAGGTCCATCAACTTTAAAACTTTTAAATATCGCCCCCTTAAGTATTAGATATTAACACTAGACTTCTTATTCTCACAATTTCTATAAATCTTACAACTTTTTATGGGAAGAATGATAACTTTTACACTTGTTAGCCTCACATTTTATTTTGCATTAGTTGTTTTTCTCTCCAAATATTTTTGTATTTTTATTTCATTTATTTAATTAAAAAAACCCTAATATTTTAATAACTTATTTTTAAAATTTTATTTAAATGTTTATAATATAATATAAATAACCAATAAAATATTTTTATATTATTGGTCGGTAGAAATTGATTAAAAATTATGATTTTTCCCCTTGAATATTTGATTTTATAAATTTATCACTATAATAATAATAATAATGAGAATAATGTAAATAAACCATCAGCGTTGATGGTGGTTGTAACGTACCACGCTAAAAAAGTTAATGAAAGCAAAAAAACTGTGGTAGATGGTGATGTTATCGTCACACCGCTCCCAAATACGATTCCGAAATAGTCATCGTCATTATGGTCGCCACCACCGGTGTTCCTGCTTTCACCGCCTCCGGTGATCGGACCATCGCCAAATGACACACTCCCGACATCATCTCTGCACAATCATCGTGTTAGCCTGATTGTCATCATTTATCATGGAAAATAACATATATTGAAAATATAATAGTACGAGTCATTGGAATAAAGTTTGTTAGATTTAATCGATTATACTCTATGTGAAACTGTCTAAACCAACGATAACAAATATTTTTATTTGTTTTATTTTAAATCAATTACTGTATTTATTAAAAGGTCAAATTATATAAATAAAATATGTACTTTGTTTTAATTCATATTTTACAGAATATTATTTTGAAAAGTTCTATTTTTAATGTTTATAATAAGACATTTAAGATACCAAAATCTATTAAAAGACTGAAGAACGATTTTTGGTTTACAGTGTTATAATATGTATTATGTTTCATCCGTCCCAAAAACGTTCACAATCAAAATGACATGGTTTTAGAAATGTCTAATTATTACATTTTTTTATTAACTAAATGACAATATTACCCTTAATAATAGAAAGAAAATAAAAATGGAAAAAAAGACACTTGCTTTTTTATCAACTAAATGACACTTTTTTTACTTAAAATTCAAGATCACAAGTAAATTGTGCATTTGTATGAATAATTAAAGCTCCATGTTTAAATTCGTGTAACTTACTGTAGATAAACATAATCAAATACTGGATATCATTTTAAATATAAAAGAATATAAAATATATTTAGTATAATTATTGAATTTTAACAAAATACTAATTATTATCTTTATAAAAAAATTATATTATTAAACAAAAAATAAATGACTTCATTATTAAATCTAAAATTAAATTATAATAAAGAAACTACACAAAAAAAAACTTTTAAATATTTAATTTGATACTAAAATTAATACAATTTTTTTTTTCAAAATCTTATGATACCTTCATTTTCAAATTTTATTTAAAAAATAAAAACATTATCGTTTTTTCAGTACCACATAAAATCGTATTATAACATCGATGAAGACAAAATAAAACAAAACATCAAAATCGAGATTAATAAATCGAAATTTCAAAATAAGAAAATTATATCATGTGCTGTAAAAAAAGATGATTAGTTTGATGGTGATATTTATCACAAAACAAAGATTGCTTAAAGATGAAGGGCAATAAGGTAAATTCACAAGGTGTAAAGAATATTATAGTGCAGGCAGATATATGCTCCACCATAACACAAGGCATATTTAAACATGTTCATAAAATGTATTTTTTGAAATTTATTTAATTTTTGTTACAAAATAATCAATTTTATATATTAAACCAAATACTTTTAATTGCAATTCTAAAAAATGAGTTCTTTTTTTTTATTAACCTGGATATCTAACCCGCTATGCGAGCCGACTAATTCTAGGACGACCACCTTCTTTGCAGGTAGCCCAGAGTTACCGCATTTGAACCTCCGTGGCCACAAGAGGATTTTTATTCTTCCTTGGATTTGAACCTGAGACCTCATGATAATTTTGACTTTTGAAGTCAAGCTCAAACCAATCAAGCATCACCCTTGTGATTAACTTCTCTTTTAAACATATAAAACAAAATCAATATTATTTTAATCAAATTTTAAAAAGGCAAATGCTAATGCAACCTTTACAAGGATGCCAATAGAAACCTTTTTGGTTGCCTTATAAAGTAAGGGTATATGTTCCCTTCCCAACAAAAAAAGACACTGGATACCCTTTTTTAAGGTTCTTAATGTGACCTTGAGAAGATGACCCTAGGGGCATTTTCGACATTAAAACATTACTATGTCTTTTAAACTTCCGATCTATAGACAAAATGTGTGAGAATATATGTAATTTTATTATACTATTTTGAGGTGTGAAGGAGATTCCAACATTTGCTGAGAAAAAAATGGTTAAAATTTATGTGATTTAAGAATTCTAAAAGACAAATGCAGAAGATTCAGGAACGACTCAAGATGACGAGGTAGTGTTGATCCTACAAAATGACAACCGGATTGAGGGTATTATAGTGGTAATTTTGTAATATTTGGAGGCATTTAAGGGGCGTTTGAGATTGCTTATAAAAACAACTTATTGACTTGTTCCAGTGTGACACCGGTAATAAGCACTTTTGAGTGTTTGGATAAACAACTTATACCGGTGCCAAACAGGTAATAATGAGTTTTTGAAAATAAGGAGTTTTTGAAGAAGTTAGACCCTTCTGACTTATAATAAGTTGATAAGTGCTTGTTGTTTCAGAGTATGTTCATGTTTCTATTTTTTAGCTCCAATGTCTTGTTTAGGTAGATATACTTTATGGTTTTCTATATATCTTGTTTCAAATAGTCTGAATGTCGATTCAATATCAAATGTGCTAGTGGTTGTTTCAAGTATTTAAACTACACTTTAGACTTTTGTGTTTTGTCAAGAATTACGTGACGAAATGCAAACCACAATGGTTACGAGTGTAATAAACAAACCACACTGATCAAATCCGTAATTCATGACAAATCACGGGGATCAAAAGCGTAGTTATTTTAAAATAATAGAATTATACGTATTAGAATACAAAACTAAATGGAAAATGACGGAATGGAATAAGCCAAAAAGTGGGGCGAAAATATCAAAAGTAGAACCATTCTCCTAACCACTAAGCATAGGCATATGCAAAGGCAAAGGCAAAGGCAAAGGCAAAAGCAAGTGGTAATCGTCGCTAAAAGGCCAAGGGATATTTGAATATGAAATTACCACATGATCTTAACATGCGATATATGATTAAAATCGAAATTATGATGGTTTAAAAAGTCGATCACATAAATTACATAAGACGTGTACCTGGGCCCACCAAAGACGCCGGCGTTCATCGTGAGTTGGTCGACTAGAAAGGCTGATTTAGGGTCGATACTAGTCGCCTTTGCATACATAGCACTCATGTCTTCACCAGAGGGCACAAAATACGCGCCATTTTCCATCAAGTCGCCATCCGTCCTCCAATGCCACCCTGCCCAATTCTTCTCGTTTGCTTCCACTCGCTTTGTAACCTATTTATGTAAAAAGAATCTTTATAGTATCAAAATTTATTCGTTCTTTCATTTTATCTGTAAAATCTGAAATACAAAAACTAATAGTCATTTAGGATGAACATTTGACAAATAGCAGAGTTTGGCAGCAGTTAAAAAGTTCTTTTTAGAAGTTATTCTTTTTTCAGACAATCTGTTTTAATGACTTCAAATCCGAACGATTTCTTAATCATCGAATTCCTGAATGACACAAGCAAATTGCAAGCCATGAAATAAGTTTTGCCCAATCTTTACATTCCTTTGCCTTGCTTGCTAGCATAAATTTGAACCCATAGATTCTTTTCTTTTGCTTGCATCACCAACTCTATATGTCAATTATCTCATACTTGCTAAAAATGGAAACTATGCTATTTTGTTTTCATAAATTCTGGTAGTTGCAAGAATCCGAGTCAGCTCGTGCATCTCGACTAATCAAGCGTACCGAAGGATTTTGGTATTTTAGAAGGTTCATATATAAGGTTACGTTTGTAAGTTTTGCCAAACATGCAACATGGTGATCGTTCAAAAACGGATATTCGATTACCTCCTTTGCGTTAGGATCGGGTGGAGCGATGTAGCGGTTACCCTGACTGTTGATCGTTGGATTTGCACTGCCACCGATGGCGTACATCTTCCATTCGGTGAAATCGTTATTTACAACATGAAAATACCCATGTCTACATCTTGGCATTCTCTGAATCAACCCTTTCCCAAAATGATTAAATGAAAACGTAACCTGTTTTCACACACAAACACCAAGAACACACAGTACAATAACGATTAATGAACGTACAAGTTGGCAATGCATGAAAAAGGGTATGAGTTTGAGTTTGACCTGCATCCCTTTATCGGGCAGATATGCATCATCATGTCCCATGAGCATAACTTCATTATGATGAGTGAAATAACTGTTTGAAATTGTAATGGCGGTGGATCCAAGAATTGCATCAATCAAGCCGTCTGTACAATGAGAAAGAGAGCAGTGATCGATCCATATGTTTCTTGACCCGGAAATCGAAATTCCGTCACCGTCCGATAAGCCTCTACGGCCAACATGCGTTGGACTTGACCGTATGTCGGCGTTGCCGGAGGGTTTACAGTCGTAGATACGTATATTGTGAATGATGACGTTGGTGACATACTGGAGGGTGATACAACCACCGCCGGTGATTGCGACGTTGACGCCACGGCCGTCGATGGTTTTGTAGCTGTTGACGATCAATTCGTGTTTTAGTTTGATGAGCATGCTGGATGCAAAGATGATCCATAGAGGTTCAGTTTGTAAGACGGCGTAGCGGAGGGTTCCCGGAGTTGGATCGACGACGTCGTTATCGGAGGAGTCGGTGACCATGTAATACTGGCCTCCTTTGCCGCCTAACGCGAACCGTCCGAACCCAATGCCACAGTCAGCTAGGCGTTGCCGGTCGTAGCCCCAGTTGGGGTCGCACTTCCAGCAATCGTCAATTGGGTTTCCGGTGAGACAGCCGCCGCCGATGTCCAGCATTTCTCTTCTGTATATCGATACATTTAATCTCCTGTCCATTAAGAAAATCGAAATTTTGATTAGAAAAGTGTAAAATGAAGCAAACCCAGATGATGTTTCTCGAAAAAGAAAGAGACCCAGAAGATTTAACGGCATAAGGAACAAAACCCAAATGGGAATTTCTCCAGAATTTTCTGTAAGTAGTTAAACAGAGGGTGAAATTCCACAACTCATAAAAGGCAGCCATTGATGTTTCTCGAAAAAGAAAAAGGAAGACTTGACATTGAACAAATCCCAGCTGGGAAATACAGCAAATATGGTGTCAGAAGCTAAACTGAAGCTGAAACAGAAGAAAGCAAGGAGATTGAAAGGGGTTTTGACCTTTGAACTTCATGAACAACTGCTTGAGGATTGGGATGTTGATATGGAAGTGTGAGATTAAGAGTGGCACTGCTGATGACAGAGAAGAGACAAGTTAAAAGGCAAAACAAGGTGGTGTTGGAAGGATGCATTTTCTGTGAAGAATATATGGAAATAATGGGAAGAAGGTTTAAAGTGTTAATGGTTGGGTTGTGTCCAAGAAAAGAGGTGGCTTCAAGTTGAATCTTGCTCTGTTTTCTAATATTAATTAATGAATAATAATGGAATTGGGGGGGAGGGAGTGTTTGGTGGTAATTTGGGTGTTTGTGAAAAGAGATGGATTATGAGTTTTTGAATAAGTGAGGGAGAAGTAAACAAGAGAATTGGGGAAGCATGGAGTTTAGAGAGAAGGGGTTTCCCTCTCTTTTCAAGTCTTGTTTTCCTCATTAACTTTACATTCCAATCTTGCTTATAAATCATTCTATTCACAAATAAACAAGAAACCCAATAGATAATGTCAAAATATCCACACACAAACACACACATATATATATATACAAATACATATATATATATATATAATTATAATATCTATAGAGAGAGAGAAAAGTAAAAAAGAGAAAAAAGTTGTCTTTTGGGTGATCAAGGGAATATATATATAGATCGGGTCGGGAGTATTCATCTTTTTCCACGTTATTTTAGTAGAGATTTTAATAACATCATTTTTCTATTTTTATTTATTTATAAATAATTACTTTTTATGTATTTATATTTATATTTATATTTATGTTTGTTTTAAAATAAGTGTACATTTTTAAGAGTAAATAATCAAATTCTTAAATTTACCTTTATTTAATACATAAATATTTAAGAGTTGTGAAGAAAGATAAGGGTAAACATGTCATTTGGTTAACAACAACGTGTAATCATTATGTATGCTTAAAATTGTATGTCATTTCAATTATAGACACTTATTTTTTGATGGATGAAATATTTAATTTGATTTGTTTATTTATGTATATGTAGCGGAACGATTATTTACATATCTTCCATTTTATATAAACCGTACAAACTTAAACCAACCAAAAATTTATTTTTTCTTTATTTTATTATGCAATGCTGTTTTCGTCAATTTGATTTTAGCCATTAAATTTAGGCAACTTTAAACCGACATATTTTTGCAATTAGCATTTAATAACTCAGTTATTTTGGGAATCCTTTCTATTTTCTAAAACGGATCGAATCTGTGATATCGTTTACACCAAATCCTTTTTTTATTTTTATAAATGACAGGTTTGAGACACTTATCCATTGTTGATATTGTTATGTCAAATGAAATCCATGTTTGCTATAATTTTGAAAGTGATGAAGTGATAAGCGTGTTGTTGTTAACCAGAATAATAGAACAATGGTTTTGATGCACAGCTTCATGGTGTTCGTTCTAGTGATATGTTTCATGATTCCGATGGTGGTCGATTGGGCACAGATGATTTCGATGGTATTGTTCGTTTGCTTTCCTTTATTAAATGAAACAGTTTCATCAACCTATTTCATCATAAACATGAAACGAGTGAAACTGTTTCATCTATACAGTTTCACCAATACAGATTTAAGATACCAAATAAAAAATGGAAATAATTGAAGTTGTTTCAGTGCATCTATTTCATCCAACATAAAAAAACAAATGAAACTGTTTCACCAATACCAATTGCATTTCAAAAAATTCGTACATGAAACTGTTTCACCCAAAACTAATTCATTCATTTGAAGGAGAAGTTAGTTTATTAATAATAGAAATGAAATGTGTTGTTTATAAATATGCAGTTGTGCGATAAGGTGGTGAAGAATTTTGGGGAGAATAATATTTCCAAGATTTCATTATTTGCCATTAATAACGATCAATTTTTCCCTCTCTATTTGTCCTTCAGTGTTGTTAAATTTAATAAACCGAGTTAAAGAAAATTGGTTGACATAAATAGCACATTTTAATTTTGACTAGGATTGTAAACGAACCGAACGTTCAGTGAACTGTTCGTGAACCGTTTGGCGGGAAGTTCATTAATGTTCGTTTATTTTTAAATGAACAGACATGAACAATTTTTTTTGTTCGTTTAGTTATATATAGAACATCGTAGAGGGTCTTTTGTAACCAAGAATCAACTTCAAATCCTTAGGGGGTGTTTGGTTCATAGAATTGAATTTGATGGAATTGGAATCCATCAAAGGAATTTGTCACACCCCGCTAAAGAGGAAACACGAGGTGTAACAGGTAAGCGAGTCACAACAATAGTTAATAATAACACCATTCAAGTTTTACAAAAATAAATCAAATTTATCACCCATAACCAAATTGGGATAGAATACTTCTTTTACAAAAACTTCAAATGCGAATTTAATCAGTCTTGCCACAAGTATGCTCCCAAATACTTCATTTCTTATTTATTTCCTGAAAAACATGGAACATAAAACAAGTCAACTACAAAGAGTTGGTAAGCTCACGGGTTTTCATATGCACAAAACATTACAATGCATAAATCTTTTTACTTGCAAACTTATACATAAACGTTTGCACTTAATAAATGTAAATCTACCACGATGCTTAAACTTGAGACGCTACTGAGCCTTACCTGACCAATGTGCCCCATTAATTTACAAACGACCATAAGTAGCCCGTACACTCATTTAGGTCCCACAGTTCGTAGTAGTATTAATTTAGCGGTGCTCCAAATTCCACATGATTAGACTAAGAAAACATAGGTAATGTGCACCTCTTTCTGGGTGGGACTGTCAACACAATAGCGGCTATCCACAATTACCACGGCCCGGGGACACGCCCGAGTTAACAAGTAGCGTTTACAGACGGTGACTTTATTTGGAAACATACTCCCAAGCACATCAATTTAACATTTATATCATAGTGCAAAAACAGTCAATATTTCATGACATAACAAACTTGACTAAACAGTTCTTTAGTCCGATGGTTTCAAACAAAGCTTGACTAAACAGTTCTTTAGTCCAATGATTAAATAAGTAAACAATATAGTTTGCTTAATCTCATGCTTTTCCCCCAGTTAAATAACAAAAAACATTAAAAAGAGGGGCCGTGAAAACTCACTAGTTTGATGATGAATATCCAAGAAGATGACGTTTGAAGCGCTCAAAGTCCGCCCTAACCTTCCTAAACAGTCCAAAACCCAATGATTAGATCCCCTAACTAGTCTCAATAAAGATAAAATCAAATTGTACCTTATGTAATGCCATCGGGTTTTTATAAATTAAAGTTGATATATTTTATTATTTATTCTAAAAATAGCCCAAAAATTATATATATTAAAAGAAATCAAAATCCCTTCTCAAAAGCTGATTTTTGGACAGGTTATAAATTCTGTTCCAGGTATTTTTGGGTTTCACAAATCACTATAAATGGGAACATTCCAAAAGTAATTTTATGTCCAACTTTTACATCATCCAAAATAATGAGCTAAGCCGATATTTTCCAAATATCAAGAAATTTGAGTGGGTTTAAGTCACTCATTATTACCTTACAACCTTGAGTTACACAGCCCCCAAAACAGATTGCACACTCTTCGAGTGACAACCATTGGGGGGGGGGGGTCTAAACTCATCATTTTTCAAGGATTTTAACTCCATTATCAAGCTAGCAAATAAGGTTAACCTCCAGAAAAAAGTATTTCCCGATTCCAATGAGTTTTGAGGAAGATAGGACCGATTTAAGATGCATGCAAAATTCTACCATATTTTGAAATATAACATTACATGATTAAATTCTACATGCTATGGATTTTCTCCTACTTTCTTGAAGATCAAAGAACATGGATCATAGATTATCATCCTTTTTGAAGACATTTTCATGTCTTTGATGTATAATCTCCCCTCTTTAATTCTCCAGAAATTTAACTACAAGATCAAAAAGTAGGAGTAGGATGATGAAAAACTTTTGTTATTTTACAGAAGTAAGATAACTAGTATCGTACATTTTTCTTATATTCTTGAACGTTCTTCAAGATCAACAGAATTTCAAAAGGCTTGTCTGAAGATGGAATCGGCTGGAGGGAGGTTTGCTTTAGAGAGAGATTTGAGAGATGAAGAAGTTTAAGCTGATGATAATAAGAAATRARAGTTTTCAAAGGATGTGGGGTATTTATATGAGGATTTTAAAGAAGGAAATGGGGTGGACTCTAAAGGCCCAAGCCCAATAAAACTTTTTATTTTTCTTTTAGTCGAGAATAAACCCACTTAAATTTATAACCAACAATATAATTTTACCAAACATTAATAAAAATGACTCTATTAATTCAAAACTCCACCTTTTTATAAAATTATTGGGACATTCAAATGAGACTTTTGTATTTTAATTTAAAAGTTTATAATATCAACTTTATTTTATTTGGAGCATTTCTAAAATATTCGCCATTACATAAGTTAACTTCATCAGTTACCCGCTGAGGCGTGACCTTCCGAACTAAAACTTGGGAACTAAGCCAGATGAATTCTTATCATCATGACTAGATCCTAAAAAAATATAAATCTAAATATAGGATCTCTAATAAGGTGCTAACCTGAAGCTCAGAAATGATAGAATGTCACAGTATTTGACTTTGAAGGAATTGGAATGAAATTTGATGAAATTTGACCATGCGTTTGGTTGGTAGGAATTGGAATGGAATCTCTCAATAGAATTGGAACAATCATTTTTGTATGGACTATCTCATCCATCGCCCCGTCCACACCCTACCAGCTACCATTTCACTAATATCATCGTCACAACTATCACCCGCCCTACCCCCACCACTTCTACCCTACCCTGCTCCATAGGTGGGGATTGTTGCGGGCAGGCAGGGGTGGGGCGAGGCAGCGGGGCTGAAGCCAGAGTGGGGCAATAGGTGGCAGTGTGATAGTTGTGATGACTACAGTAGTAGGATGGTGGTTAGTGATGGGTTAGAGTAGGGTAAGGTAGGGTGGGGGCAAGGCAGGACAGTGGGGTGGGTAGGGGTAGGTGGCGGAGTGGTAGCTGTGATGATGCTAGTGGTGGGATAGTAGTCGGGTGGCTGGGGCCAGAGAGTGGGTAGGTATGACGACAATAATAGTGGCATGGTGTTTAGTGGTGGGTTGGGGTGGGTTGGGGTAGGGT